GACAGAGAGCGGAAGCATTTTGCACTTGACTTAGGAATAATACTTCCAGTTCCAAGGAATTAAAGAAGGGGGAACATGTTTGGCATCGGAAGCTGTGTTTTTGTTTGCTTGCTTTTCTTTCAATGCCAGAACAAAATACCCTACTCACGTTCATAGTCCCCTAGGAAATGTGCAAATCGGGAAAGCCGTAGAAGCCGCAACCGAAGGCAAGAAAAAACGACTTGACGCCCTGCGAAGGTTACATTCAGGTGGTTTTTAGAGGAACGTAATCCAGCTGTTTCTTTCTAACCATTTTGCAGGGAACAGAAGTTCTTGTTTGCCCTGCAGCGGGATTCAGATGCACAAGCCCAGTATGGGCCGCACAAGGTGAAGTGAGCAGCTGCGGGTGGCTCCGCCCTCCCACCTGGCTCTTGGAGGGCCTTGTGGAATTGGCCAGGGAACTGGGCGTGGGTGATACTCAAAAAGCCGGTGAGGTCCCCTCTCCGCCCAAAGGAGCAGCCAGCGATGTCAGCCTAGAGCCCTCTGCCACTGCCTGATACCTCAGCAGCGACGAGGCGGCCGACAGGTGCCCGCCCAGCACCGCGCCCTTGGTTGGAGCGCAGCCATTGGTGCAGTACTCCTCCTGATGCTGCTGCTGTTGCTGCAAAATTGTCCGAGCAGCGGCGGCGGCAGACACGTGCAGCAAAGGGGCAGCGGCCTGGGGATGCAACAGGCATGATGGTCGCTGGAGCAGGTGGCAGTAGCTCCACGCGGTCGGGGACAAACTCTGCGCAGCCCCTGTACCCCCTCCCCTGACCCCTTGCATAATACTCTCAATGCTGAAAGAGATGCATCCGCCTCCCGGTCGCGACGCCAGACCCTTGCCCTCCTCCCAAGACTGGGGACCAAGTGAGGGCTGTAGCACGGGAAGGGTGCCTGGGGTCTCCAGGTCCCCGCCTTCTGCTTTCTTCGGTGCCTCGGTATAGGTCGGGGCCGAGAGCAGTAGGTAGCGAAGAGGGTGCGGATGCAGCAGAGCGCACGGGCGTCTCCCGGGGGCGGCGGTGGGGTAGGCCCCCGGGACAGGTTGCGGCGGGGCAGGGGCCCCAAGCAGAGGGCCTGGGTGGGGGTTGTGCAGGGAGGCGTGTGCAGCAGGTAGAGGGAAGGGGTGGGGCAGGTGGGCTCCCGGGGTCAGTTGGTGGCGCTTGAAACGCTTCCTACGCCGGAGAAAGCTGCCATTGTCGAACATGTCCTGGGAGGCGGGGTCCAGGCTCCAGTAGTTGCCCTTGCCTGGGTGGCCCGGCTCGCGGGGGATCTTGACGAAGCAGTCGTTCAGCGAGAGGTTGTGGCGGATGCTGTTCTGCCAGGCGGGGAACTTGCGGCGGTAGTAGGGGAAGCGGCCACTAATGAAGGCGCAGATGCCGCTGAGCGTGAGGCGCTTGTGCGGGCTTTGCAGGATGGCCATGGTGATGAGCGCGATGTACGAGTAGGGGGGCTTTGCCGGCTGCGGGGTGTCTCCAGAGGCCGCCGCAGACCTTGGCGGTGCCCTGAACTTGGTGCCAAACTCCGAGGGGTCGCTCGGGCCGCCGCTGCCCTCGATGTGCTCTCGGGGAAGCGCACCCCCGCCCCACCGTGCCACCTGCAGTCCCGGCTGGAGCGACTGCTCTAGGAACGACTGGCTCGCCTCCTTCTCCTCGTCCTCCCCCTCGTCTTCATCTTCCTCGTCTCCCAGGATATCGATTTTACCTTCTTCCCGATCGGAGTCCCGGAAGCTGCGCTGAGGTGTGGAGCTAAGGCGCTCAGCTCTTGGCGAGTTCATGGAGGAGCAGGTGCTTCAGTTGCAGGGAATGTGGCGGCCAGCCGATCACCTGGCCTAGAGTGGGCTCAGCTGGAGGCCCGAGATGAATGTTGCAAGAAGCAGGAACGCTAGTGGTTACCCTTTGGGATGTTTTCGTCTGCTTGTTTCTACTCCTTTCCAACAACGTCCGGCAAAGATGCACTTTTCCTTTTATAAAAGCTACTTCAAGATCGTGTGTGGTGGACTCCCCGCTTTATAACCCTTCTTCCCCTACCTCGGAGCTGTGCCACTCCCTCCTGACGTAGTCCAATGATGAGGGTCTTCTGGGCAAACACCAGACAGAGAAAAGCCTAGGCCCCTCCTCCTCGCACTCACTTGCCACCAAGGAAGGTGCTCTACTCATCCCGCGCAGCCAGCCAGTTGGTCGGCCTTTGCATGGGTTCTGTTAAGGTGCATTTAAAACCGCACAAATAAAAACGAGATAGGAAAGCATGATACTCAGCAATCTTGGCCAGGCTTTGCATGGGTTAAGGCACATTTAAAACCGCGCAAATAAAAACGAGGTAGAAAAGTATGATACTCAACAATCTATGACCACCTCGACATGCAGCCTTCCCTCCTGGAGAAAAGAAATGGTGGGGCGGGGGGCTGAAATGTACACGGTTGTTTGTAAAGGAATGTGTAACCGAAAAAGTATGTTTTAGCGTTTCACAGCTGGTAATCACCCATTTTCATTGGTAGAGTCTGTCCTTACCCAGAATGGTGAGCTGAATTATATTTAAGGTTCTGACAACATGCCCAAGCTGAATAGGGGGCTTCAGGGGGTTGTTGCTTTGCTCCTTCTATCTTCCTCCCCACCTCCCCAAGATGCTCTCCCTGACTCACATTTTCAGAAAAGGTTCAAATGTCCCAGCACTAAATTGTGTAAGTTTATTCAGGGAAGGCAGGAGAGCTCATATGGAGTCCTCTGTCCCCTTGCAGCAATGGTTCTCCAACTTATTTGGATATTTAACCACAGTAAGAAATAGCTTTTATATCACAATCTTACACATACAGACATAATACATATCTAAGATGGGTTTCACAAAACAATATATTTACACTATAGAGATCACTGATATTTTGTTTTTTAAAAAATGGCCATAACCAACTAATTGATTTCACACATACCAGTGTGGGCCTGGTTTGAAAATTCCTGTTCTGACAAAGTGGCCCCACATACAGGAAATGCACATACAAGAAAAGGGCTTCTCTCTCTCCCTTTCCTCCTTCTTTTCTTCATCCTTTTTAACCAATTCATTTTTAGAGACAGGGTCAGTCTATGTTGTGCAGGCTGGCTTTGAATCCCTGAGCTCAAGTGATCCTCCCACCTCAGCCTCCTGAGTAGGTGGGACTACAGGCGTGCCACTATACCTGGCTCTGGCTCTTCATTCTTTTTTCCCCTGAGATGGAGTCGCTCTGTCACCCAGGCTGGAGTGCAGTGACACAATCTAGGATCACTGCAAGCTCCGCCTCCCGGGTTCACGCCATTCTCCCGCCAAGACGCCCGCCCCCCACGCCCGGCTAATTTGGTTGGTTGGTTATTTATTTATTTATTTATTTATTTATTTATTTATTTATTTGGGACGGAGTCTTGCTCTGTGGCCGGGGCTGGAGTGCAGTGGTGCGATCTCAGCTCACTGCAAGCTCCGCCTCCCGGGTACATGCCATTCTCCTGCCTCAGCCTCCTGAGTAGCTGGGGCTACAGGCGCCCGTCACCATGCCCAGCTAATTTTTTGTATTTTTAGTAGAGACGGGATTTCACCGTGTTAGCCACGATGGTCTCGATCTCCTGACCTCGTGATCTGCTCGCCTCGGCCTCCCAAAGTGCTGGGATTACTGGCGTGAGCCCCTGCGCCCGGCCTCTTCATTCTTTCAGAAATGTCAACATTAAGTGCTTTTACCTTAATAAAAAAACTTGGGACTTCAATGAGGCAAGAAGGGGCTGTAGTGTTGCCTTTAAATCAGTGGGTCCTCATTCACTATGTGCACTGGGGAGGGGCAATATGACAGCAGAATTGTTCAACTCACTCACTCGACATCCTTAGAAGTAACACGAGTTTTAGATTAAAATTAGCTCAGAGACTAAAGTAGCACTACAGGGGAATAAAACTTAATATTTGTTATATTAATAAGGATCTTATTAAAATACTAAGTAAGATACTATGCCACAGTATATATTAATAATTTAAAACCCACCTACTTGGGGAAACTTTGAGGTGCCATCTAATAAAAATGCAGCATAAAATAATATTATGCCATTGATTGTCACATAGTGTCTATAATTATGACAATGAATGTTCAGTGTGAAATCAAACGCCAACTGCAAGTGCAAAATATGATTTTAAAAATAGCTTAAAGTAGCTAGTGCCTTCAGGATAAAATCTGAAAACCAGTTTTCTTGATAATCTTTTTTTAAAACTTCACTACTCCTGAAGTTTCTATCCTTTAAGGCTCCTCAGTTTATATGCAGCTTGGAGGGGCAAATAACAGACAGGTTTGAGCCTAACAGATTTGTTTGAATCCCAAATTTACCAATGACTGCTTGTGTGACCTACTAAACTAAGCTCCAGGAGGGCCAGGCCAGGTGTCTTATTCAACCACAAAATCCCAGATGCCTCCTCCCCAGCGCCCCCGGCATGTGAGGCACATTTCCTCCATCAGCATAGGAATCAGATGACCTGGGAAAGGGAGTATTGTTAGTTTTCCTAGCGCCAACTTCTACAGGGATTGGGGTTATTTAAAAATGAAAGGAGAAAAATAAGGAGGCACTCAAAAACAAAACACAAAACCCACATTGACGGAGGTATGTCAAAGGGGGAACAGGAGAAAACGGAAAGAGTTCCCAATGGCCAAAGCTGGGATAATTTGAGCAACAAAATAAAGTAGTATTAAATTGTAACCCAAAGTATAAAATATTCATGTGTCCACACTGATAAACATAAATGATCGAACTAATAAAGCGAAAGGAACAACTGTCCCTTGCAGAAAAATTTCAATTAATTATGTAGACACTCCACTCCCAAGAAAGTACACTACAACTCCTCATTCTTTTAGTGTGCACGTTGCACAGTGATTTCCTTCCAAAGAGCACAGTATGAAATGGGGGAAAACAGTAAGTGTACAATGGAGAAATCTGACAAACACTCCTTCAGCCAGGTGATCAGGTGGCCAATATCAACATCAATAATAGTCATAACCTTTTATTTCATGTAATAAAATGGTGACATTTACTTGTTTTTAAAAAAATTAATAACAATGTAATCATTATATCTCTGCAATTAGCTGAAGTTCTAAGAAAAAATGACAATGTTGAAAGTTTTATCATCATTGTTATAAACTTTCATATTCAGTGTATGTAAACTCCAAAGTCAATTTCAAAAGATATTTTTGTGAAATGCCAAAAAAAAAAGGGTATTATATATAATTGTATGAATGTTAAATGTTTTACAATACTGATTTGCTACATTTTATGTATGCTGTAAAATACCATTTTAAAGTATATTGGAATTCGTAACTAAAGTAATAAATAAATGCTTGAAATATACCCAGTAGAAACTTATTTTTATTAGCCAATCCTTTTGATAATAAATGCTTCTAGTGTTATGTACAAACTTGATCTTCTTTGAAATGTGTTGTCCACCGCTTTTCTGTTTCTGTCACAGTAGCTATAAATAGCTGTTTAAGGATATCCTTATCTAAATTCCTGCCTGCAAACAAAATGAAATATGACATGATTACATTATGCTTATTAAAATGACATAGTTCACCTATCAATTGCAGTTCATTAAATGCTTTATGGTGTTTAGAAATTTACAAAAAGAATAGTAATTGAGTAATTCTATCCTTAACTTTCTAGTTAAGTATATCAAAACCACATTGGTGCTTGGATTAATCACTTTTCTAAAACTGAAGAAGAACAAAAGTCCTAACAAGGTTTTATGAATGTTATAACATGATAAAGACGAAACATTGACCACAAGCTCATTTAGTTATAAAAGAGGACCTGAATGGTTAATCTGTTTAAGTGGCACGTGATATCCCTTTCAAATATATTTTTCACTTCGTTTTAGAAGTGTTAATCCTTTGTGACTTACCAATGAGGACCAATCGATTTGTTCTCTCAGTGTCATCCTTCCAGCTCACTGGAGTCTCCTCCAGATCATAGAGCTCATGGACACCCTGGACAATCACTTGTTGTGGTTTGTCTTTGATTGACACCAATCCCTGCTCAAAGGAGAATTGACTGAACATTAATCAGCCTCAGTTCAAACTTAAAAGCAGAAATAGAGCATCAATGTTAATGAATTGTTGATATTCACTTAAAAAATACAAACTGTTAAGCTGAGAAAATTACTTTATTCCAATTATTTGTGAATTACAAAAAGTTTCTTAATTTTAATTTTCAAAAAAGGTTTATGTGTATTGATTTTTTTTTTAACAATCCCCTTTTCTAATGATAAAGTTAGTACATATATTAGGACGGTTTTTCAGTGTTATTTATCACAACCAAAACCTGAAACAAAATGACGAAATATATATCCTATTGATTAAAGATTTTATATAATGTTTCACAGTTTTAGTGGGAAAAGTTGAGAAGTTAAAGGATTTTGGTTATATTAAATTAAATAATTTGTTTTAGAAATGGGTTGCAATCAATGAATAATGGTGAAATAAAGAAAAACTATTATATTTATCTGAATAAAAGTTCATTTTGTATTGATTTGCAGAAATGAGAAACGAATTATCTGATAAACTGGCTCCTATGGGGATGAAATTAACTTACTTGAAATAATGTTCTTAATATACCAAAAACTTTGTGCACACTTGTGAACACACAAGAGTAGACACTCAACTGATGACGGTTAAGCATACACCTAGAATCACTGCTTCCTGGAAGAAACACTGTTCATGACTTAAAAACCCAAATTTCAAGTAATGTGAGTGGGTTTCTAAACATAGAACAAGAATTTCTTCTAGTCCTTTGTAACTTTGTTTAGAGTATGACAAATGTTTAGTGTCTGTTAAATGCATCAGGGAGCATAATGTTCAGCAGAAGTGGATTTGCAACATTATTTCTCTGTACTTGGGCAGAGAGAGCAGAAGGTAACATTTCAAAGCACACAGGTTGTTCTAGCTGCAACCCTAAAGGAAGCTATGCAAATAAATCATGCCTTATGCAGCCATTTCCAAAGCTCCTTTTCAGTCATGAAAATAACCAAGAAAAATGAAAGTAGACAAAGATGATTTGTACTAAAACCAGTGTTTCTGTTTAAAACCAAATACAGTTTTTGTAACAGCCAAGAAAAAGACTTCGTTCAAAAGTCTACAACAGTAAACTGTACCTTCAGCCTTATGACCTCCATGCAGTGATTGTCGTTGTTTCTCACATTCTTTTCCCACAGGAGATTCTGTAGCAAGTGACGTATTTTAATAAGACCAACCATTGCTAATAGCAACAACTATGTAACAAAACCATTGATAAGTCATTAATCAGTTAAAAATTGCATTCACCTGAATAAATATATTAAGATGTTCTTCCTTTGCATTTCCTGGTACTTCAAATGTGATTGTGACAATACTCTGTAAATCAAGGGAAATAATCAATAATAATTCTTTATAGTCATATCAATGTATTTTTAAATCACAAATGTTAAGATGAAAAGGAACATATTCATGGAATTTTACATTGCCTAAACCATATATATTAGGTATTATACTTTCCTCAGCATGTGTGCTGTTTTTTTGGAATTAGCAACTCCATTTCCTACATTCTGCAGAGGTACCAATGGGTTTAGTATTTACACAAACTACTACCTTGTATTTTTAAAAACCCACTAAAAAACCCTGATGAAAGGGTCCTCATTATTTAATTCATTCTTTCATGGATTCTCAGCAATAAGAATATATGTAACACATACAATGTACTCACTACACAGGGCCAGATACTTTTGCCTGAGTCACCTCATTTCATCTTTTGACTTACTCTTCACAACAATCCTGGGGAGTGAAGATAACTATTTCATTTTATAAATTGGGGGAAATAAGAGTCAAAAAACAAACTACCCAGAGCCAGGAATAAAACTCAAAACCAAAGTAAATTTGTTCTCTTAAAAAAAAAATACAAAAGAAAGGCTTGGCTTATCTTTAACTGAATAAGCATGTGCCAAGAGGAGAAGAGTTCTTAGCGATGAGAATGATAGGATAATGCCCTCTTTGGCTTTAGTAAGGGTGACATCATCATGTATTGAATATTAACTTTAGGATTTATTTTTCTTCTTTATCTTGACAAACCTCTCACTGTCTACCCTAAAGAAACAGAACCTTAACATTTCCTCTAACAGGTCACATAATTAAAACCCAAACCTCCCTTTGCCAATATAACCCCAAATTTCAAACTCAGAGATGAAATTACACAAGGGCTAAGCATAACATTACCAAAACATAAACCCCATCTTGGAAAATAGAGGCTCAAAAGCCAAGCTCAAAATGACTTTAAAAAGGTAGAAAATAATATACTGAAGCACAGCTTTGCATAACTTCCTAGAACTGCATATCTGGCCTAGCAATTTTACTCACCATTACATAATCATATAGGGTTACAACAGAAAATACAAAAAGAGCAAAACTATTTTATAATCCAAACTCAGAGAATCGCTAAAGGTAAGTATTAAAGACCAATTTAAGCACAAACATGAGACACTTCTTTCTTTCCATAGGTTATTGGGGAACAGGTGGTGTTGGTTAACTTCTTTAGTGGTGATTTGAGATTTTGGTACACCCATCACCTGAGCAGTATACACTGCACCCAATTTGTAATCCTTTATCCCTCATCACCTTCTCACCCTTTCCCCCTGAGTCCCCAAAGTCCAATGTGTCATTCTTATGCCTTTGTATCCTCATAGCTTAGCTCCCACTTACGAGTGAGAACATAGCGATGTTTGATTTTCCATTCCTGAGTTATTTCACTTAGAATAATAGTCTCCAATCTTACCCAGGTCACTGCAAATGCCATTAATTCACTCCTTTTTATGGCTGACGAGTATTCCATTGTGTGTGTGTGTATGTATGTGTATATATATATACACACATATATATATATAACTGTGGTATATGTATGTGTGTGTATATATCATACATACACGCATACATATACACACATACCACAGTTTCTTTATCCACGCGTTGACTGATGGCCCTTTGGGTTGGCTCCACATTTTTGCAATTGCGAATTATGCTGCTATAAGCACGCGTGTGCATGTTATCTTTTTCGTATAATGACTTCTTTTCCTCTGGGTGGATACCTATTAGTGGGATTGCTGGAACAAATGGTAGTTTTACTTTTAGTTCTTTTTGAGACCGAGTCTGGCTCTGTCACCCAGGCTGGAGTGCAGTGGTGCAATCTCCGCTCACTGCAAGCTCCACCTCCCAGGTTTACGTCATTCTCCTGTCTCAGCCTCCCAAGTAGCTGGGACTACAGGTGCCCCCCACCACGCCCGGCTAATTTTTTGTATTTTTAGTAGAGACAGGGTTTCACCGTGTTAGTCAGGATGGTCTCAATCTTCTGACCTCGTGACCCACCCACCTCAGCCTCCCAAAGTGCTGGGATTACAGGTGTGAGCCACCATGCCCTGCCATACTTTTGTTCTTTAAGGAACTTTTTTTCCATAGTGGTTGTACTAGTTTACATTCCCACCAGCAGTGTAGAAGTGTTCCCTGTTCACCACATCCATGCCAACATCCACTATTTTATTTTTATTTTTTTATTATGGCCATTCTTGCAGAAATAAGGTGGTATCACACTGTGGTTTTGATTTGCATTTCCCTGATCATTAGTGATGTTGAGCATTTTTTCATATGTTTATTGGCCATTTGTATATCTTCTTCTGAGAATTGTCTATTCATGTCCTTAGCCCACTATTTGATGGGATTGTTTGTTTTCTTGCTGATTTGCTGGAGTTTGTTGTAGATTCTGGATATTTGTTCTTTGTCAGATATATATATATATATATATATATATATATTCTGAAAGATTTTCTCCTTCTCTGTGGGTTGTCTGTTTACTCTGCTGACTGTTTCTTTTGCTGTGCAAAAGTTCTTTAGTTTAATTAAATCCCAGCTATTTATCTTTGTTTCTATTGCATTTCCTTTTGGGTTCATGAAATCCTTGCCTAAGTCAATGTCTAGAAGGATTTTTCCAATGGTATCTTTTAGAATTTTTATAGTTTCAGGTATTAGATTTAAATCTTTAATCTATCTTGAGTTGCTTTTTGTATACAGTGAAAAATGAGGATCCAGTTTCATTCTCCTACATGTGGCTAGCCAATTAACCCAGCACCATTTGTTGAAAAGGGTATCCTTTCCAAACTTTACCTTTTTGTTTGCTTTGTTGAAGATCAGTTGGCTGTAAGTATTTGGGTTTATATCTGGGTTCTCTATTCTGTTCCATTGGTCCATATGCCTATTTTTATAACAGTACCATGTTGTTTTGGTGACTATGGCCTTATAGTATAAGTTTGAAATCAGATAATGTGATGTCTCCAGATTTGTTCTTTTTGCTTAGTCTTGCTTTGACTATGCGTATGTGTATGTTAAACCATCCCTGCATCCCTGGTATGAAACCCCTTGATCATGGTGGATTATCCTTTTGATACATTGTTGGAATCAGTCAGCTAGAATTTTCTTAAGGATTTTAACATCTATGTTCAAGGATATTGGTCGGTGGTTTTCTTCTTTGGTTATGTCCTTTTCTGGTTTTGGTATTAGGGTGATACTGGCTTCATAGAATTATTTAGGGAGGATTCCTTCTTTCTCTCTCTTGTGGAATAGTGTCTTTAGGACTGGTACCAATTCTTTGAATATCTGGTGGAATTTTGTTGTGAATCCATCTAGTCCGGCACATTTTTTTTGTTGGTAATTTTTAAATTACCATTTCAATCTCCCTGCTTGTTACTGGTCTGTTCAGGGCAATTCTTCCTGATATAAGCTAGAAGGGTTGTATCTTTCCAGGAATTTATCCATCTCTTCTAGGTTTTCTAGTTTATGTGCGTAAAGGTGTTCATAGTAGCCTTGAATATCTTTTGTATTTCTGTGGTGTCCATTGTAATATCTCCCGCTTCATTTCTTATTGAGCTTATTTGGATTTTCTCTCTTATTTTCTTGGCTAATCTTGTTAATGGTCTATCAATTTTATTTATCTTTTCAAATAATCAGCTTTTTGTTTCATTTATCTTTTGGATTTGTTTTGTTTTGTTTCAATTTCATTTAGTTCTGCTCTGATCTTCTTTCCTTTCTTCTGCTGGGTTTGTTCTTGTTTCTCTAGTTCCTTGAGGTGTGACCTTAGATTGTCTGTGCTCTTTCCAACTTTCTGATGTAGGCATTTAGAGATATGAACTTTCCTTTTAGCACCACCTTTGCTGTATCCCAGAGGTTGATAGGTTGTGTCACTATTGTCATTCAGTTTGAGGAACTTTTAAATTTCCATCTTGATTTCATTTTTGACCCAATGATCATTCAGGAGCGGGTTACTCCAAGTATCTGCATGGTTTTGAAGGTTCCTTTTGGAGTTGATTTCCAGTTTTATTCCACTGTGGTCTGAGAGAGTGCTTGATATAATTTCAATTTTCTTAAAATTTATTGAGGCTTATTTTGTTGGCTATCATATTGTCTATCTTAGAGAAAGTTCACGTGCTGTTGAACAGAATGTATATTCTGTGGTTGTTGGATGGAATATTCTGTATCTATCTTTAACTCCATTTGTTCCAAAGTATAGTTTAAATCCACAGTTTCTTTGTTGACTTTCTGTCTTGATGTCCTGTCCAGTGCTGTCAGTGGAGTATTAAAATCCCTCACTATTATTGTGTTGTTGTCTGTCTCATTTCTTAGGTCTATTAGTAATTCTTCCATACATTTGGGAGCTCCAGCGTTAGGTGCTCCTATATATGTTTAGGATTGTGATACTTTCCTGTTGGACAAGGCCTTTTATCATTATATAATGTCCCTCTTTGTCTTTTTAAACTGCTGTTTGTATCTTTAAAGTTTGTTTTGTCTAATATAAGAATAGCTAATCCTGCTCACATTTGATGTCCATTTGCATGAAATGTCTTGGTCCACCCCTTTACCTTAAGTTTACGTGAATCTTTATGAGACTCTTGAAGGCAATAGATGGTTGGTGAATTCTTATCCATTCTGCAATTTTGTATCTTTTAAGTGGAGCATTTAGGCCATTTATATTCAGTGTTAGTATTGAGATGTGAGGTACCATTCTATTAATCATGCTATTTGTTGCCTGTATACCTTGTTTTTTTGGTGTTTGTTTTTGTTTCTTTAATTGTATTTTTGCTTTCTAGGTCCTGTGATATTTATGCTTTAAAGAGGTTCTATTTTGATGTGTTTCCAGTATTTGTTTCAAGATTTAGAGCTCCTTTTAGCATTCTTGTACTGGTGGCTTGGTAGTGGTGAATTCTGTTTGTCTGAAAAAGCTGTATCTTGCCTTCATATATGAAGCTTAGTTTTGCGGAACACAAAATTCTTGGCTGATAATCGTTTTGTTTGAGGAGGCTGAAGACAGGGCTCCAATCCCT